ATTGTCAGAGTGGCGTGGCTCCGAAGTGGACCAAACATGCTAACATATGATATTCGAGGATTGCAGACGGTGTAGGGAGGTGGGATTTGCTGGTTTTGCCAGCAAGTGTATTGTTCGATCAACTTGTGAACGCAATGTTCAATCAAGTGCTAAACGCGTTACATCGTCTTGGAATGTCTGTTGCGCACGCTGTAAACAGTTAGGCTCTGCAGCGCTTACGGCGCCCTAGGTTCACTGTGCTGTACGCGCGGTGCTGGCCGGTGGTTCCGGCCAGGCGGAGCATCGGAGAACATCGGCAGTCAGGTTGAAAAGGGTAATTGTCCAATCCAGTGGCGGTGATGGTGGCGATGGCGATGGTGATGACGACGGTGGTGATGATTAAGATGATTTTGATGATGATGATGATGATGATGATGATGATGATGATGATGATGATGATGATGATGGTCGTGGTGGCCGATGGTGCTGCTGATGATGATTTTGGTTATAGTGATGGTGGTGATGATGATGGAGGTGATGGCGATGGTGGCGGTGGCGATGACGATGACGACGACGATGATGATTCTGATGATGACGGTGATGGTTGATGGTGATGATGGTGATGACGATGATGACGATGCTGATGCTGGTGGTCATGATGGTGATGGCGATGATGGTGATTATGGTGGTGGTCAGAACGATGATGGTGACGATGCTCATGCTGGCTATACTGGTGATGCGTGTGATTTCTGATGGGGGGATGACAGGCAGGATGATGATGGTGCTTATGTTCATGCTGATGCGTATGTTGATGGTACTGGTGGTGATGGTGATGGTGAGGTTGATTATGGTGGTGCCGATGCTGATGATGGTGGTGGCGAGGGTCATGGTGATGATGCTGGTGATGCGGGTAACTGTGGTGACGATCCTGATGGTGGTGTCGGAGATGGTGGTGATGACGATGGTGGTGGTGACGATGGTGGTGGTGACGATGGTGATGGTGATGATGCTGGTGATGTGAATGATGGTGATGATAATGGTGAAGTGGATCACGGCGACCACAACGATGATGCACCATGATGACGATGTTGATGATAATGTTGATGTTGAGGATGGTGGTGCTGGTAATGATGCTCATGCTGATGGTGGTGGTGGTGTTAGTGGTGGTGTTGTTGGCAATGAGGAATGAGGAGGGGGAGGAGGAGGATGATGTCGCGGTTGATCTTGATGATTATGTTGATGCGGAGAGAAGGAGGGGGAGAAGAGGGGGAGGAGGGGGAGGAGGAGGAGGAGGAGGAGGGTGAAGAGGACGGCTGTCTCATGTGGCAGCTCCCTGTCTTCACTACTTCCGAAACTCGCATGAAAGTGGTTTGGACCGCCTTGGGGGTGCCCTGGCCTCCTGTGAGGGAGGTTTGAGGGTCCTTTGAGGCCCTGTTGGGCCGTGGAGGGGCCTTCTTGCGCCGTCGTGAGGCTCGCGTGTGAGGCCCTGTTGGGCCGTGGAAGGGGCCTTCTGGCGCTGGCGTGAGGCTCGCGTGGGCTGTGTTGGGGCCCTCTTGCGGCCGTATGACTGGTGGGTGCTTGGGGGCCGTCTTGGCGCTGCCTTGGGCCTTCGAAGAGCCCTCTCAGGCCGTCTTGGATCCCACGGGGGGCCGTCGTGGGACCGTATTGGATGCTTCTTGGGCCATCGTATGGTTGTTTTTTGGCCACCTTGGGACCCTCGTGAGGGCCTCTTGGACCGTCTTGGGGCCGTCTTGAGCAGACGGCAGTCCGAAACGGCGAGAGCGCAGGGTATCATAGATGATGTCGGCCTTTTCGGATCTTGTTGGAGGTCATCTTGTGACCCCGTTGCTGGGCCCTCTCGACTGCATCTTGGACCGTCTCGGAACCATATTGGACCGCCTTTGGGCCATTTCGGGCGGGCCGTCTTCGAGGCATCTTGGGCCTTCGTGGTGTCCTTGGTTGCCTGCATCGGCCGTCTCAGAAGCTCAAGACGCAAGGGCTCCCACGAGGGTGCGAAGTTATTCGCGCTTCGCGGTCCTCGTTCCTTCTCCTCCTCCTCCTTGTCCTCCTTTTCTCCCTTTGGGGGGGTGGCGCGAGAGCGCGAAGTTATTCGCACTTCGCGCTTCGCGCAGCGCGAAGCGCGAAGTTGGGAGCCCTTGAAGACGCGTATCCATAGTTTCAATGAGGGAGCGTGGCCTCGGGAGCGCGGCTCCATCGCTTGTGCAAAGGGTCGTGGCCTCGGGGGGAAAGGGGATGCATGCGTCTTCTGGTAGAGGGAGGGGGGGCCCCTCATGAACATGCCAAGAACTCTGCCAGGCAGCCCTTGGCGTTCTTCCGTGCCCCCACGTGTCAGGTGGCACGGTGGCGGATCTTGAGCCATGTTTGGAGGCCATCTTGGCCCATCGGAGGCCATGTCGGAGCCATCCTGGGCGAAGAAGGCCCTCAGACACACCACGGACCCCCCCCACAAGCAAAAGCTCAGGGAGGAAAGGGGAAGATACCTCTCCCCGACGGGAAGAAGGGTTTTGGAAGGGGAAAGGCAGACGTCGTTATTCCACCTGCCCCCAGAGGGCCAGTGGGATTTTGCTTCGCGGCGTCCTGAGCCATGTTCCTGACCAGCGTGGGATGGAGGGGTGCGGGGGGCGGGCAGTGGGAACTTGGGCTGGGCCTAAACGGTGTTTTTGGTGATTTCGTGGGCCGTTTTCGTTTCGACTCCGTTTTTTGTTGTAGGGGCGGACTCGAGACAAAAGCCAGGGAACATGAAAGCAAACCGAGAACGAAAGACACCGTTCAGGTTTAGCCCGGGTGGGAACCTTCTACGGGCCTCTTGTCACCACCCACCAAACCACCCCAACCCAACCCGAAGGCTCACATTTACCCTCGATTTCCAGTGGGGGGGGGTCGGGAAACATCGAAAAAACACGTGTGGAACCCTTACCCCCCCCAACCCGAAATTCGGGTCTTCGGGTTGGGTTGGGGTGGTCTGGTAGGTAGCCATTGGGGGATGGCTTCGGGTCCTCCCTGGGGGGGGGGCCTGTGGGCCACCCGGGGCCGTCCTCCGGGCGCCGTCCTCCAGCGCAGCCCCGTGGGCCGGCCCCGTGCCCCCCCCCCCGCGCGCTGCCCAGGATTGCAGGGTCGAGACTTTTAGTCGGGAGACTCTCCATGGGATCCCCAGGGGATCCCATGGGATCCCCGCCCCTGGGATCCTATCCCCCCATGGGATCCCCCCCCATGAAGAGTCTCACGATTTAGGGGGCCACACGCGAACACTGCCCCTGCCCCCCACGATTTCTGAGGGGAAGGGTGGGGTTCACTTCGCTCGGGAGCTCCCAGACGAAGTGAACCCCACCCTCCCCCCCAGAAATCGTGGGGGGTAGGGGTAGGGTTCGCGCGTGGCCCCCTAACTTCGTGATGCGGTCGGACCGTGGTAGAAGGTCCAGGCCAGGGCGGTTCGGGGAGGGTACCCCGATGTTCTTCGCGTCTGTTGGATGCCCTCGCGGATCCTGGGGGTCTTCGAGTCTTCCTGGGGGTCTGGGGATACCTGGGGCCGTCCTTCGGCCGCCCTCTTGGAGCAGCCCGGGGCGGCTCGGGGAGGGCACCTTGATGCAGGGGTGGAACTAAACGGTGTTCTGGGGATCTCGTGGGCCGTTTCCGTTTCGACCTCGTTTTGCGGTAACGGAGACGAAACAACAACGAAAAACACCGGTCAGGTTCAGCCCCGTGATACGGTCGGGCCGTGGCAGAAGATCCAGGGCGGTTCGGGGAGGGCACCCAGATGTTCTTCGTGTCTGTTGGGTGTCCTTGTGCATCCTGGGGGAGGGTAGCCTCGAGGTTTCCTCAGTCTGGCCGGCGGAGGATCTCGTGTTCTCGAAGGATGTTCCTGTCACAGGTCCGGCTGCAAGGTTCGTCTTGGTTTCGGAAGGGATTCGATGCTTTTCGGCTTCTCTTTCCCTGGCGCCCCTCGTTCAGCTGGGCGCACCGAAGGTCCAAAAGGGGCCTCGTTCCCCGTCTGGGGTTCTTTGCGGCACAACGCTGGCTGCATCCAGCTTTTGCGCCGCAGACCGCCAGAAACAGCCCAAGACCGCTGGATACCACCGAAGGCCGAAGACCGCCAGAAGAACGCCGCCGACCACCCAAGTGCTCTGCCCGAGGGTGATCGGCAACAAGGGGCCCGTGGTCGAAGACGTAGCTTTGCTTCTTCCTTCCTCCCTGCTCCCTCCCTCCCTCCCCTCCCTCCCTCCCCTCCCTCCCTCCCCTGCTCCCTCCCCTCCCTCCCTCCCTGCCTCCCCCTTCGTCGGCGCCTGGTGGTTCTCGGGTCCTGACACTCGGGCCTCCAGCGGCCGCCCGGGACGATCTGGGCACCCCCAGGAAGCTCCCGGCGAGGCGCAGCTGCTGGAAAGCATCCCCAGGCGGTAAAATCGGGGGCGGAAAAGAGGGGGGTGATGACTAGGGGGCGGTGGTTATCATGGCGCCGGCCATGATATCTCCGCAGATTTCATGGCGCCTCTTCTTATTTCATTACGTCCCAGGCCCCCCCGCTGGGCCGCGCACATGCCGCCGGTCATGATTTGCACACCCCCCTCTTGGACACCCCCTCTTGGCCGCTCCCGATAAAACACCTCCGAGAACCAAACAGTCGGCCCAGACTAGTAGGTCGACCCTGCCAAATCAAGGATGCTCGGGGGTGGATAGAGCTCCTACCCTGACACGTCGATTGAGGACTTGGCCGTTTTCGGTTCGCGAGAGGGCGTCGCGCCCGTCACTTTTTGCGGGTCCAGGCGCGTCGATTTCGGTCCCAGGCCGTTTTCACTAAGGGGAGGTTTACCAAAGGGAGGTTTGTCCACCGCCGAGGCACCCTCGTGTCCTGAGGGTCTCGCGACCCACGCTTCCCACATTCCTGTGGCAAGGTGGCCCTCGGAAGGGTCTGGTGCCCTCTCGCGTGTCCTGCCCAATCGAGTCCGACTGCAGAACACGTGCTGCATCGCTCCTCCTCCCGCCTCTGTGCACGGGGGCCCGGGGGCCTCGGGTCGTGCTCCAGCTGCCGCAGGTCCCCGACGGCCTCGCCGTGGCTCGCCCGCCGCCCGCCCTCTGCCTCACCCTTCCTCCTCCCCCTCCTCCTCCTCCTCCTCCTCCTCCCCCCTCCTCCTCCTCCCCCTCCTCCCCCTCCTTTCTCCTCCTCCTCCCTCCTCCCCTCCCCCTCCTCCTCCTTCCACCCCTCCTCCTCCTCCTCCTCCCCCTCCCCCTCCCCCACCTCTCCTCCTCCTCCTCCTCCTCCCCTCCTCCCTCCTCCTCCTCCTCCGCCGCCTCCTCCTCCTCCTCCTCCCCCTCCTCCTCCTCCTCCATCGCTCCTCCTCCCGCCTCGTCCTCGCTCCCTCCCTCCCCGGCTCGCCAGGGCCCCCTCCCCTGGCCACGGGCAGTTGCCCCTGGGGGGCCACGCGCGGCTGCGTGGACGGCCTGCCCGGGCGGGGTGCCAACCTCCGTGGCGTCCCGTCTGGGCCTCTCCCTCCTCGAGCTCGCTGCCAGGAAGTCGTGCGTGCCCCTCTACAGGGGGAATGTTCAAAAGCAGTGCAAATAGTCAGGGGACGATGTTTCGACTATGCTCAAGTCTGTGTGAGAATCTTTTGATGAGTATCTTTTCATTCTTCCCCCAAAAATCCGCCTGTAGGTGGGGGTGCATGCCCGACCTAACGCTACCACCCTGTGCTGAGCCTGCCGCGTGCCCCCGCGTGGGAGGCAGGGGATCGACACGAGCGAAATGTGTACGGAACGAATGGGTCCCTCGCAATGGGGGAAGCGGGTCTTGAGGGAAACGGGTCCCGAGGTTTTTCGCAGTGTTCGTACTCTCCCGGGGCCCTCACGGGCCGCAGGACTGTCAGAAAACGACTCAGGAGGAAGAACTCGTCCCGGGGAAGGCCCTGGAGTCCAGGACCCGTTTCCCTCAGGACCCGTTTCCCCCATGCTAATGTGGGTCCGAAGACGGACAGCAGTTCCTCTCCATTCTGGACAAGGATCTCTGTCGGGGCCTCCTCGGACGCGGCCCATTTGAGACAGAGGGCCGCTGGGCCAACAGCGGCCGCTGTCGGTTTGGACACGATTTGCATCGTGTTAATTCTTCCTGTATCCATCAGGAGGGGAAAACACAGGCACAAATAAACGTCGATGCTCAGGAAAGCACGGGAAATATGGGAAGAAGTGATGGCGAAGACGAACACCCAGAATATATGGAAGTTATTAGGGCAGTGCCAGCTTGTTATTTACAAATGACCCCCCCCTCCCGGGGCGAGTGAATAGAACCCGAGGGGCGCGAACTATTTTTTTAATCACGCGCGCCAGGGGGTCGTCGCTGGCGCCGCCGAGGGGATCGTGTACCCCCCTGCATGGCAGCCTCACAACGATTGCCTTTCGTATAGCAGTTCTTATATGGGGCCGTACACATCCGAGGCGATTTTGCCCCCCTCAGGCGTCGTCGTCGTGTCGTCGTCGCCGTCGTCGTCTTCGTCGTCGTCGTCGGCTACAGCGGGCCTGCGCAGCAGCCCCCCCATAGGGCATCCAAGTTGCGTCGTCGTCGTCGCCGGTGTCGCCCTTTGCCGTCCCTCGTCCTCGTCCTCGTCCTCGTTTTCGTCTTCATTGTCGTCTTCGTCGTCGTCGTCGTCGTCGTCGTCGTCGTCCTCGACGGTTACAGAGACCACGGCAGAGGGAAGGAGGAGGACTGCCCGCCTTGCTCGGGTCGGACGAAAGGCTGGGGAAGGAAAGGGGGGTTGCGAAACTTGCTGCGCGCAGTTGGATTCGGTCGCCCCGCCGAGGGGCCACTCCTCGATGCATGGCCGCCTTCGACGCCAGGGGGCGCTCGGAAAATCAGCAACGAGAGCTGTTGGGCAAATCCCTCCCGGCCACGCCCCCCTTTCGTCCAGCCCGCCTTGCTCGCGGGCCCGCGAGGCACCTGGCGCCCGCCTGGCTGCGGCCAGGGCAGAGGAAACGCATCCTTCGCTTCGCTTCGCTCGCGGCTCAATGTCCTCGCGGGACGCAGCCGTCCGCGCGGGCGGGCCCGCGCGTGCGCCGAAGGCGCGCTGGGGGGACCACCTCCCCCTACACGGACCCCCGCCAGGAAGCCCAGGGAAGGAGCCATCTAGGCTCCGCGAGGGGAGGGGCGGGGGCCAAAAAGGGCGAAAAAAAGAAAGGCCCAGGAGAGGGCCCAGGAGATTCCCAGGAGTTTCAGGGAGGGGGAGGAGGGAGACGCTAAAGAGGAGAGGGGAGTGGCCACATGGGGGTGGCAGAGTGGAGAGGAGGGAGGGGGCTCATTAAAGGCCTGAGGAGTAAGGAAAGCCACCCCCATGATGACCTGCCCGCGGGCGGCGGCCCAGGTCAGGCCTGGACCGTGTCCTCTCCCCCCTCTCCATAGAGGGGGCGTTCACGATGTGGTTGGCGGTCTCCCTGATGTTGTGGTTGGAGGTCTCCATGATGTGGTTGGTGGTCCACAATGGAGTCGACGAAGTCGTCGAGTGAGTTGCCGTGCTCCTGGGAGAGGCCGTAGTGTATTGCATAGATGCTGCTGGTGACGTCTAGCGCGGTAGGTCTTCTCGTGGTAAGACTCTCCGTCGCGTAG